CATACTGAAAAGATCAAACTGTCATGGGATAAACCATTATAAGCACTGACTCAGAGGCAAAGCAGAAGAGACAAACCAAAAGCTTTGAAGGCCGTGGTGTTTTGGAAACTTTGCCACTGGCCAAATAAGAACTTTTGTGGGATTTACTCAAGAGGGACCGTCCACAGAGCCGGTCTGAGCGTTCAACCAGACTGTTCGGTCCAGTTTACAACAGTCACCTGCACAGTCACACTGGGAGAACAGCAGAGGGGAGGAAGACTCGGGGTCAGGAAGGGAATCAACTATCCAGTGAAGGCACACAGCCACAACGTGCCTTGGGTTGTCAAGGCCGGCATGGGTCATCGCTTGGGGTAACTCTCTTAGTGCACCAGGGAGGAGTTTTGTATGCAGCAGGGAATATATTTTACCGCAAGACTGGAGCTGGATAGTCACAGGAGTGCATTAAGATCTGCCTATCCTCCTATTTTTCGCACCTATTACTGTAGCTCGCAGTTAATAAATCATGCCGACCACCTCGAGAAGGTGAGCTCTTGGGGGTAGGGACAGTATCACAGTGTCATTAATGCTTGTGGAGTGTTGCCTGGGTAGAAATACTTGATATAAGTAGTAGAAAGGACAGGTGACTGGAGACTAAGCTGATGAATTTGATGAGTGTGCACAAGTGCAAATGGCCCCCTCCTGAGCCAGTCCTGCTGGCCTTTCTTTACACTAGGGAAAAACAAACCCAGGACAAGCCGTCTTCAGTACTTGAATTGGGAACCAGACTCTCGACTTGAGGAGGCATCTTGAGAAATGCAGAGGGCGTTAGCTCTGCAACTGAAATCTCTTTCATCCATCTGCTCACTTTTCAAAGAGAGATGCAGTCTTTCCAAGACCATCCCTAGATTTCACAAGATACCACAGGAGTATATATGTAGCTTGCGCAGGGAATGGGAGGGGAGGGAAGACCAACCTGAGTTAAAACCTGCCCCACATGAAGACATTTATTTCCATGCGTTTCGGTGGGAACCAAGCATGAGACTAGGTAGCAGAACTTGAGAATACTTTTACCAGCCAACAAAGTGGCTACCAATATTCTCACTGCATGCGAACACTTTGGAAAGGATTAAATTAAGTTTCCTACTGCCTCCCAACATTGTTAAAACGTATTTCTACGCTGCCACTCTATAATTCTTCCAGTTGATGCCTGGAAAACATTCTGCTGCTACAAAATACTTCGGTTAGAAAAAATGGGAATAAAATTCCTGCAGTTTTGTACGAGAGCGTAATCAGCAGTGTTAGGCTGTTGAATGTTTTATATCGAACCATGCCTGCGATGGGCTAAACAACTCAAGGGTAGGAGTGGAATTAATTTTGCCATCCATTTGTTAGATTTGACTATCAAGTTAAATTTAGTAGACTGTCTGATCTCTGTAGAAACTGAGACTAAAAACGTTCAGTTCCATAACCTTTAATCTGTTTGGAGAGAGGAGAAAACGTTAAATTCTACGAGCGCAGCCTTCAGGATAAGATAAATACATATAGATCGGTTCACTAAGACACAGTAACTCTGCAGGATCACATCCATCAAAGAGAGGGATTTGACAAAGTTGATCTAGTAGCAATTTCAGTTTAACAACGCCTCGGTGCTAGCTCATTCATTAGCGCAGAGGCATTTTGTGCGGAGAAAGGATACAACTCTTGGGATCAGGAGGTTAAGGTGCGACTGTAAGGCTGCCTCAAATCTTAAGCCACGAGGCCAACAGCAGAACTAGACAGAGCAGATAGCAAGTCTGTAGTAAAGCGGGGAGCTTGGTATGGCAGGCCTGATCCTGCCCTTGCTAGCATCAATGGAAAAGCTCCAAGGGATTTTAATCAGAAGCCTAGGATCAGAGCACAGGTTTTAATGTAGACTGGCCCCATTCACACTCACTACTGGACTAGCCTAGGTGCAGAGCGGTACGGACACAACATACACCCTACTTAAAACTGTGGTCTAAAGTCCTTTGCTGCCAGATCACTAAACCATGACAAAAGATTAGTCGTCAGGACATCAACTCTTAATTCACGGACTACAAATACATACGGACATCGCTTGACTAATAAGCGATGCACACGAGCGCATAGGTGTATGTTTGTACATGCGCAACAAGCAACTGAAAAAGATCCTCAGTTCATCTTGGAAGAAGATGAGTGTTAAGCCGGTGGATGGATCGGTGTAAGATCCTTGATGCTGCAGGAGGAAAAGACTTGAAGTGAGGTTTGGATCTGAAAAGGTGCTGAATAAAAACTGTTCTCTTGCTTGCTCAATAAAACCTGCTGTCTGCCTACTCCAAGTGGTAACTGCTTCTATTAGTGAAAAATTACCTGGTTTTACTACCTTTCTGTTCTGCTGTGCCCAGCTGAACGGGTATGGCAATGGGGAAGAGAGCTGGCTCTCACCTTTGAATTGAGTAAATTCCAACCAGCAAGATCCTCCTCCTCTGCATTTCTATTATGGTCACTCTTCAGAGCAGCCGTGGCATGCCCACCTGCGATTCGGCAGCCTCAGTCTTCCAGTCAGGACATTTGGTGTGCTTTGAAAAAAAAAGACTACCGAGGAAGAATAGCTGGAAAATCCATATCAGAAGATGATCACCTTCCTGAAGAGAAGGGGGATGAGCATTTCCTCCAGCACTGAATAAATAAGTGCGAACAATGTTACCAGGCCCAACAAAAGCCGTGGGAGAGGAAGCTTTACTGTCAGCAACGTATGCAGCTGAGTGTGTGACTACCGGGAGCATCATGATACCCAGAACTAGCTCACCAGGCCAGAGCAGTCATGTCCAGGTGCCTGGTGAGACAGCTGTGATTTAGACACGTTCGTGTCAAGTGAACTGCACGGGAAGGTCCTGGAAACTTAGCACTGACTAGAGCAACTGGACTTGAAGAGCTGCAGCTGACAGCAATGGTGTAAGGGATGAGAGGAAAGATTAAAGGGGAAAGGCAGTATGGAGCTGCAGCAGAGGCCCTTGTGAACTATGACTTTAATCAAAAGCTGAGATGACCGAGTTGGACCACAGAGGTAAAGAGGATGGCTCTAACACACCCGCTCCAGCCAGGAGCAAGCCTATGGGCCGAGCACCACGTGAGTGAGTCTGCACAGCTACAAACCCCGACGTGTAAGAGCACATGTTTAATCACGAGTACATAGGACCAGTTTGCAGATCAAAGCACAGAGGGTGCATGGGGACAAAGGGAAAGTGAGCAAAAGCAACACAGAAGCTGCTTAAGATGCTCTCTTACAGTGTGGACGGTACCAGTGATTGGAGGCGCTGGGCTTGAAACAATAATCTTGCGGTAGCAGAGTGTGAAAAGACAGCTTCGCACTGCTCTTTTTTTGGCTGGAAATGCTAATAGCAATCCCCAAATTACATATTGGTGGCACTTCAGTTCCAGGGAAGAGAGATGAATGGTACCAGCTTTTGACCTAACCTGGAATATAACAGAGCCAGACCAGGGTAAGTTTTCCTTTGCAACCTTTCCAAATTCTTTAAAGAATTAACTAAATACTCGATAAAAGAGGGGGGGGGGAAAAAAAACATAGTTCATATTTCATTCAGTTTGAGACGCATTTGATATCGCCTTCCCCACAAAAGGGTCTTAAAGGAGACTTGCGAACATCGGGGTCAGAGATTAAAAGCTGTTATAAAAAATAAAAACAGATTCAGAGATTAAGCAAAGAATTGGAATAAATGACCAAATCCCAAGGTTGGGGAAAGGTTAATCACGGAGTCTCCCAAAGAGCATTTCTAAAGCTGGTGGAGGTCAATATATTTATTAAAAACCTGGAAGGAGGAAGACAGTGAATGGCAAAATCTGGACAACACGATGGAAAGATGAGAGAAAGACAGCTGCACACAGGTAAGTGATAAGGCACGTTGGCAGAAAGATTTTAAATTGTTTGCTCACATCTTTGGGAGGTGATTTACTTGTCAAAACTCAGAGAAGAAAAAAAAGTCAGGACAGTTAGAATCAGCAATGTGAAGGCACAGCAATTGTCAAAAGTGAATAAAATGCAATGCTGTTTTTATGAAGGAATGGCGTATAACACAATAAATATTATGCCATTGAATAATCGAGGGGACACTCGCATCTTCAGTAGCAGGGGCACTTTGTCACTTTTAACCAAAAAAACCCAAGAAAACCAACAAAACCAAAACATCAAAAGAAGGTAGCTGAAATAGAAAAGTCCAGGAAATGGCAATGGCAATGAGTGGAGGAATTGCTGATGGGCAGGGACCCCGGAAAGGCCATCCTAGTGAATGACTGGAAAGATTAGGTCTCGTTACAAAGGAGAGGAGCAAGAGGCAACAGGATGGATGAATGGAAAATGATGAGTGGTGTGTTATGGTCAGTTGGGCGTTCTTATTTACCGTTCCCCAGAACACAGGAAATAAAGAGATTGAAAATAAAAAAGCATTTTTTTGTTGTTGTTAAAAAGGGGATAAATATGAATTTGTAATTAAATGCATATTTGACTGGTGGTATTCCTTTTTACAGGACAATGAGTAGATAGCTTATTACAATTCAGAAACGGATTAAGCATCTACAAATAAGACTAGCAACTGCAATCAGACGAGCTGGATAAAGTGAAGGACCAGACTTCATATTTCCAAATGCTGAGACTGACAGGGGCGAGGAAGAAATTTAAGACCCACTCCCCATACTAAGTGTGCTTTAATGGTGTTTGATACACCTTCATCTGAACACTAGCCACCAGTGCTGGAGTTCATGGCCTATTCGATTTTTTTCCCTGGACATGGCAATTTCCATGTTTCAAGAATGTCGACACGAAGCCCTGTCCAGCTTCCAGGTTACAAGACACACGCACAAGAAAATGCATGCCGAGGGAAAAAAGTGTGTTTTTTGGGTGGTTGGTTGATTGGTTTGTTATTTTTCCCCAGGCTTCAAGCTGTGTTTATATACATAAAAGACAATGCACATTCAGGACATTTCCAATGGTTATGAAGGTACTGTACCTGCGATGGTGGTAGGGATGGTGGTGGTGGTGGTGGTGGTGGTGGTTGTTGTGGGAGGAGGGAGAGTTGTAGGGGGATCTGGATAAAAAAAATAAGAAGGAAAATAAAAAGAAAAAGCAAATTAAGAAAAACAAGCAGAACACAACCATGAACCATAATGATCAGAGAGAGAAACACACACACTGAGAAGCAGCATGGCGGTTGGAGGTCTTTCCTCCCCTAAAGTCAGGCGGTAATATTGCAGCTGATTGGAAAGACAGAGGCCTTCAGCAGCTGAAAACCAGCATAGTCCCATTGATTTCAATGAATCTACAGGCTGACTTGCACCCGCTGAGGCATCAGGCCCAGAATCTCTCTCTCTCTTTTTATCATCTGTAAGTGTTACAAAATAAAACCAGCATAAATTAGTCAATGGGAGATAGAGAGATGGAATGGGAGAGCCGTAAGAAAAACAAACCGCAAACTTTCCGTGACAAGGAGAACAGGTTACTACATACGAAGAAAGGCACGATGGGGCTTTGTTGTTGTTCTACATTTATATGTGCAAATTCAGCTGGGGAAGCATGTGCACGAGCGGGGCTCCCGCTGTACTTAACAATGAACATCAACAGCAGATAAGTGCTTTTTACTCCCTTCTCCCAGAACTGTTAACGTCATTATTCTTCCTCCATCGATACATGTCAGCAGGATGTTAAAAACTACTTTTAAGCGAGTAATAAATACAAAGAAATGAGAATGTCGCTACAAAACATCAAGTGCAAGGCATGCAAGATTTTGCTGAATTTATTTTAAAATCGAGTCAATATCTTTGTGACTTATAAATGTTTTAGTATGCTTGCTTTTGTTAATAGTGCATCCTTAATGAGAAAAAGTAGAAAGCTGAAAAGATTTCCTCTCTTTATAACTGATAGCTATTTATAGAAGACACTTGACCTGCTGGAGCCAAACAAACAGTACCACTCTATACAGTATCAAATATTTACAGTGTATAGAGGTCCACCTCCTTATAAAAAGAAGTGGGATGGGGGTGATGTGAAAAGATGTAAAAGAAAAAAAATATATATATGTGCGTGTGTGTGTGTGTGTGTGTGTGTGTGTGTGTGTATATATATATATATATATATCAATGCCCAAACGATCAAACTGAATGTGTTAAGTAGTCAGCAAGACTTTGAACTAAGAAATCATTCTGCAATAATAGAGCATGAAACGGTTCGTAGGCCTTTGATTTTAAATTTTATCTAAAGCATGTCAACTTTTCATCACTGACACATCTGCTACTCTTTTATCTCCAAGTGAGCTCTCAGATTCTCTGATTAATACATCTGAACTTTAATTATATGCTGCACCTTTATTGTGTTCAGTACAACTTCCTGAAAGTTAAGAAACATTACCTTGGAGTTCGCTTCATTGTGAAGTCAGCTGAAAGAAAATGATCATTTATGAAGAATGTCTTTAAACATTTTGTTCTTCTCCTGCAGCGGAAATATCTGGGTCCATATCTTTGTTAGAGAGGGGTTTTTTTTTTTTTTATTATTCATCTCCTAACTAGGGCTAGGCTGATAGGCTGCTGCATCAATGTCTGGTTACTGGCGGTCAAAACAGACGCAACCAAAGCACTGGAAACCTCGCCATGCAGATGGATGCTGATGCATTGAACTCGTGGCACTGGCTCCACTAGGGAAAGTTGCTAATCGACAGATTCAGCCCCACTGATCAGGAGAGACGCCTATCTATTCTCCCGTGTTAATCATGCTGAAGATTTCTAGGATATGGTCCTGGTCATTCTCAGTGGCGGCAGCAGTGAGATATCCATTTCTATTGAAGAATCAACGTTCCCAGTTTGCATTATCTCGTATGTAAGTAGGCAACCCTATACCAAGTGGGCAGAGGAGAAAGTTGCATCGGGGCAGATCAGCAGCAATTACCATCCAGCGTCTTGCTGCTGGAAAGCTCTTAGACTTAATGCTAGTTAAATGCACGTGTGTTAATTGATAAGGAAGCTCGTCTCAGTGAGGTGGAGTAGGGCTGGCATGTCAAACCATCATCATAGCTCTTCTAGCCACTACACACCACTGCATCACAGAAGTGTTAAGGGACTTGTTAAGACACAGACTGATTTGACAGACTAATTGCTTTATTGGTCCCTGTTTTAAAGTGAACTTGACGTTGGTGGACAGCACTGCGCTGACAGCCCTGGAGAACACATCCTCCTCATCGACAGAGCAGGTAGAGGGGCAAGCAGTAGGGTAAATTATCCTCCATAAGGAAGACTTTCTCACTAACCCTGCAGAGACCACTACTAGAGGTCACCTTTATTGTTCACTTTAATTCTTTTTCTACTGAGAAAAGGAGCTGAATGTGTTGACAGGTCATGGGACGAATGCCTTCTATTAGGACCTGGGCAGGGACATTCCCATCAGGGCACAAATCAATACTCATAATATTTCTCAGCACTGCCTTGTGCTGGATCTGCACAGGGGTGCTGCAGAAGATAGCCACGAGCCGTCCAATTTGTGAGGCCAATGGCTCCGAACTCTGTATGGGCATAATGCTATTCAGCTGTCCCTATTTTTTTGCTGAAACGTGACAAGATGGGACATATAACAGCTGGTTGACTGTGGATCACCGGCAGACCAGACATGTCCCTACGTGCCTTTGTCACATACACAGGTGCAGAGATTAAAAAACCCTTGAAAAACGTGATTTCTTTTAAAAATAAATTTAAATCACAGTCTTTTGGGGGACATTTAGTAGCCAACGAGGTGCAGCACTGACAGCACTGGAGACCGAAGGTCTCCTCCAAACAGCGTGCAAAGCCGAATGGGCGATAGCACGAGCCACCGCAAGCTCTAAAAGCTCCACTCCTCCAACCACACGGGGTTCAGAAGGGAGTTCGGTCTCTGGGGCTCCATGAATCATCTGCCTCTGCCGAAATGGCTGGAAACTCCTGCTGGAGCCATTCAGGTTATTAGTTTCCCCAGATATCTCCTCTAGGAACCGAAGCAAGACCAATTCTTTTGGTGTCAGCAAGGTTTTGTTTAAAATTCTCATTTAGGGAAAAAAAATGGAGTATCTACAGCCATGCAAAGAGCGAGGAAATAATTTTATTGCTGTTTTGTTGTAGAAGCAGTTTTCAGAGTTTTAGTCTCTTTTGGACTCCTTGGTTATTATGTTTAGGATTAATAGCATCTGGAAAGCACACGCTCAGTGTTAAACGTGCTGATGAGGTAGGTGTGCCATGTCGTCTTTCACTGTGGAAGGTTTAGAGCTGCAAGGTCATTAGTCTC